ATTGTTTAGATAGACATGTCTTATCTCCGATGTATTGAAGCAAGATGGGACTGAACCACTTAACTTGTTCTCAGATAAATCTAAGAGAGCAAGATAATCGAGATTGCAAATTTCAATCGGGATTGGACCCTCAAGCTGGTTATTAGACATAGAAACGTGACTCAACGTTGTCATTTTACCCAATGATGTGGGAATTCTGCCAGACAAACTGTTGTTACTAATGTCTAACACCACTAGAGGGCTGACAAACAAGCTACTTGGAATGGTGCCCGAGAACTCATTGCTATCCAGATATAAAAATTGCAAGTTTAGTAGGTTGGTAGATTCTGGAAATATTTGTCCTTGCATTTTATTATCTGATATTTTGAGAAAAGACAGAGAAGAGCATCCCATAACTAATTCTTGAGGTATTGTGCCTGACAAGTTATTATTAGACAAGTCTAAATATCTAATAGATTTGAAGTCACCAAAACTAGAAGGTACACGCCCATCAAACATATTTGTCGACATGTTTAATGTACGCAAATTTGGAAAAAGTGAAGTTATATTAGTTGGAATATGTCCATTTAACTTATTATTAGATACATCAAAAATCTCCATGTTGGGATTGGTGCTTGTTGGCAACTTGAGAGTTCCTGTGAAAGCATTATCCCTCAGGTAAAGTCCACTAAGTTTTGTGTTGTTCTTTAACAACCAAGTTGGAAAATTCCCTCCTATGTTGTTCTTTTCGAGAATGAGAAATTTCAAGTTGGATTGATAGTAAAAGAAGTTGGGTAGTGTTTGAAGGCCACTAGAATTTGACATAGTAAAAACCTCAAGTTGAAAACTGGGAACCGAATTTCCCGACTCCTTTTCATTTATTATTTCATTGTTTTTCAAAAATATAAACTTGAAGTTTGAATGATTAAAGAACGCCTTGAAAGAAACTGGAACTTGAAAGTTATTACTTGAAAGGGCGAGATATTCAAGTGATGTGAGTTTAGAAAGTGGAGACGAGGCAATATTTCCAATGAACTTGTTGTAAGAGAGCTGAATCAATCTAAGAGATGTCATATTTGCAACACATGAAGGAAGTATTC